TATTTTCTGTCAATACGTGCCCAGTGGGCAGCTTTTGATCTGTTTAATTAATCTTAAGTTCTCATTTATAATTTATATTTTTCTTCTTAGTATGTTACTGATTGTGGACCAGTGTCAACCAGAATTTCTATTTGCACAAAATAAAAGTGAAGTAAGAATAAAACGGTTGAACTGTAAGAAAGGGCTCAAACATAGTATGAAAGTATTACCCAAGAGTTATATAAATCGCCAAGCTGTAGAAGATCAGAGACATAGACATCGAGGGTCTCAAATGAGTAAAGGCTACAGTTTATTGGTTGGTATTACAACGAGTAAGGGCTAAATTACGACCCAGAAAGGCCTTTATTGGAAGTGTAGGAGGGTTACTACCGTAGTAATTCTTCATTTTGGGAAGATGTCCGTTGACTATGACACTGCTGCTTGTGAACTGGTATATAAACTTTTGCATTTGTTGATCAACCGCACAACAGATCGATTAGGCTTTTCCATCTTTCATAACTTCAACATTTAACTACTCCTCTGCTGTAAAAACAAAAGCAGACAAACGAAGCGCAATTCCGACAATTTTTTGGAGAACTATCAAACCTATAGGTTCGTGTAAAAAGTGAGAACAATTTAGTACTACACATACTAACGGACGGGCTTCAATAGATAGAAATAACCATAAAGAATGCCAAAAATTAAACTAGTACCTATATTGCATGGTGGCTGACGATAACCAACTAATCGAATAAAAAGTCAAGCTTTTCTATGGACATCCAGTTCAATCCTTGAGTAATCCTTAAGACTTAATTTGGGGTTAAAAATTCGATAGGTTATCACCGTCTCACCTGTATAAGAGCCATTGGCGTATATGACACAGAATTCTAGCAAAAATCAGGGACAGCAGGCCTTCAACTTGAAAGCGTAAAGTAGCGTAAAGTTCAAAAGTCTGTTATCTTACAATAATGCTCATTAAAATCTTTTCTCCTTTTGCGAATATCACCCAGCCCTGTTCACATATTTCACTGTGATTCAATAATAAGCACACTGTCATCAATTCAATCAGTTTCAAAAAATCTTAGTTGACAGTGGAGAATAATGAAGCGTTGTTGCAAAGTTAAAAAACAGAGACAATTGACTAAGAAGTAAAAGTAATACACATATCAATCAAGTATCAATACCCCATGGCAGCCAACATATCCTTGGCAATCCATTGAAATGTCGTCCTTACCTTTTCACTGCATTTATTTTTACTTTTGCTGATGCGTCTGTTCGTCCAACTTTTTAGTTCTCGTTGAAACGTAGGGGAAAAAACTTGTATAGAATTGAATAAAGAAAAAAACTGTCGGAAGAAAGAAATGCAGTGTACCGAGCAGAATGTTTTAAAGAAATGCTGGTACTTCGACAGTATAATACCAAAGAATATGTTTGTAAGCATAACAGTTAAACAGAAAAACGTTTATTTGTTGAAAAATATGATTTCCAATCAGTTTTTAAAACCCTTCTTTCATTCAAACTGTTCCTATTCGCCTCTTCAACGCTAGCTTTTTATCTGCGTCCATTATCCTATGTTCAATAACCATTCCCTATCCTTGCTATGATTTAAGAATCACTAGACCGCTGCTTTAGTTCACTTCAGTCAACAAAAAAAATTCTACTTTTCCTCTCGCTTTCGTTTCCACTTTTGTCTGTGCATTCAGGCTCTCATAGACCTTTCATCTTCTCATAATCACAATTTATATGTGAGCGAATACGCTCTGCTTGTGTTCACGGGCATTTGTTAAACACTTTTTGATAACTTCTACTGTTGTCTCAAGCGAGTAAACACTGCCCAAAAACATGAAAAATTACTTCAAATTCTCATTTAAGACTTCCACAATGAACACAATGGCATGTACTTCCGACCCTACATCATTCATTAATTTCCTCATTTTGATGTTTAACACCAGTTGTTCAAATTTCCACATGTTTGATAATCACTTTCAATCACATTTTTGCGACATTCTTTATGACCTTTTCCATTACAACAACAAGCCTCTCAAATCTCGTGCTCTTTCTAAGCAGGTAGACAGAATTTGTCAACCAAACCTCTGCTTAAAACATCTACAAACTGAAACAACTGACGGCTTTACAAATAAAGGATGTCACCGCTACCGAAGTCAAAACATAAGCACATACCATTTTCAAAATTTTAAACATGATTCAAAGAGATGTGTACTTAATTTGCAAACCAACAGAAAATAGTGCGAAATAAAAGATTTTATTTGAATAAAAAATCAAAACAGGAATTTTTGCAAAGCTGGCGCCCAGTCAGGTTGAAAACGATGATCTTTGAAAGCTTACCTCTACAGCGCAGATGCCGGAATTGCCATTAAGCATCAAGTTTTGACAAATAAACAGAGCATTTACCAGCCACTTTTACCGGAAGGTTGTCATCTATTCCACAAAAAAAGTAGAGAACAACAAAAAGATAGAGGTGAATAAGTCGAAAAGATTTTGAAAATCTCTGCCCAAGGCTCAAAAGAACAGCTGTTACTGTGACGGAAAAGGTGGAAATCGGTAGCAACCCTTTAACCAAAAACTAACTCCTTGATAGGACTGCCTTCGATCACTGTTTTCTCGAGTGCTTTCTAAGGAAACATTTCCTCGGCGTAAAACTTGTTTGTATCTTCTCCCAAAAACAATCTCCAAAGCAAATTGCGAATACCACTTTAGGCTATGTTTCTAAAATCCCAACAAACAAGCAGAGTGAAATTAAAAATTACATATAAAAGATGGCTGGAAAGAAGAACAAAAAATTGATTTAATGTGAATATCATAAACTGCAGTAGTTCTCGAGACTGATATGTATAATGTACTGAAGGTCTTTAAATAACGATAATACTTACAAAAAATTGCTCACGCTACTGCTCAAAGCTGTTTGAAAAAATCAACAAAACGTAATAACTAAGAAAATATACGCAAAGAATACAGAAAACCAGTGATATGAATTAGGTACGTCTAAAAGATGCATAAATTTCATCAGAGACTCTAGTTAAAACACAACCAAAGAACAAATAAACTTTTAAGAATTCTGACGCGATTCAGACTAAGAAAAAGTCTTATTTTTTATCACTGTAAGCTTTAAAACTCGATCATAAAGAGTACAAGCTTGCATCATAACAATAAAAAATGATAGTGACGCCGTTTTTTGTACAAAACAAAAAACCTGTAGTAAAGACTTGTGCAAGACTAAACAAACAACGCCTCCAAAAAAGGAAAGGAAATACGTGATTAGAAACGGGTTTCGAAACAGGCTTGTCGAAATTAGAATTTGTATAGGCAGAGTAAATTCAAGGCTCATAAAAGTGAGATCAAAAACCAATGAATGAATTACACCATTAATGCAGAAAGTCAATACATTCCTTATCTACAGTAAGTTGTTTAACCCGACAACTTTTCACCCATCAACAACGAAAAAAATAGAAATCTAGAAAGTACGAGCGCAAACTTGAAACAAGTGCTGAAGATATCTCTCTTCAAATACACCTGGCTTACAACACAAGTGATACACTAGTAATACACTTCAACCCTATAATTCGTTCCTTATGTATATTTCTAAGTAAAGAATAAAAACAAAGACAAGGACAGCAACAGTAAGAATAAATGATAAAAAAGCGTTAGAACTTCCACAAACATTTGAGGGTTTCTCAATATAAGAAAAAGAAATAAAGTAAAATGAAAAATAATGCAACCGCATAATTTTGGCGCTACATATGCTTCACAGAATGAAAAAACCAATTAGTACGAGTCGTCCACGAACGATTTATAGCATCTTCAAATGTCTGTTCAAAGAAATTTATTGCATCTTCCCGTTTAGTTCCATAACAAAGCGCGCTTTTCAAAGCTCTCAAATCTTCCTCCTGAAACAAGTATGATTATTTCTCATTCCTACACGACTAAAAAGGGACCTTTTTCTCCTTGAACCTACGTCATGTCGGGATCTCTGAACCAGTTATTATCTTCTGTTTTCATGATTTTCAGTTACTTGCTAAAGCCATTACACTACTAGTGAGCTTGTCCCATCTTTCCGAAAAATTCAACTTTGGATCTCCAAATGCTCCGAATATCTTTTATGAAGCTCAGGCTAACAAAAGCTCTTTTGCATTACTAAAATGAGCTATTCGCTTCAATTCAGTTTATTTACCAGCCGGGTTACGATATTCCAACTGTAGTAGTTAAAAATATTTTGCCACCATTCTCATTCCTTATTTGTCTTTTGACTTTTACAGGCAATTCCGCCTCTTAGAGCCATTTTTGTGCCTGCCTTATACAAATCCTGACAGTTAAGCTTGACACATCTCTTCAAACCTTTATGCGCTTATAACAACCCAAAACCACAAATCCACCCTAACAACTCTGCCTAATGAACAACTGGATAAATACTGTACCGTTCTCAACTCAGGTAGACCCATACGAAGCAACATAGTAAATATAGACACGAAGAGTCTCCGACGATCATATAGAACAAGATATGCGTCAAGACACATACGTTTAAACCTGCAATATATTAACGCACTTCTCTTACATAAATTCTGAGACGCAATATCATCAAAAAATTATA